TTTTGTTTTCTTCTTTTAATTATGAGTGTGAGTTTGTGTGTGTGCATGTGTGTGTGATTTATACAGACAGACAGACGTGCACGGTTCAGCAATCTCTATAAGCCAATGTCCCGACTCCACTCTGTTCTACCACGCTCGGCTCCAGTGATGCAGGAGTGATTCTCTCCAGTGATTCTCACCTGGGAGCGATTTGGTCCCCAGACTAGGGGGCGTTTGGTAATGTCTGGTGGGAGGGAGACTACCACTGGCATCTCGTGGGTCAAGGCTAAGTGTCCTTCAGTGCACGGGGCGGTCTCCGTGACAGAGGATGAGCCAGCCCCAAACGTCAAGGACACCGAGCAGCCTTCCAGCCCGGCTGGCAGAGAGGGACAGATGTGTCCCCAGCTCCTAGGACACTGTCTAGCACAGGTAGTGGCTGGGGCAGGATGACGCTTTGGGGGCAGGTGTCGCTGCAGGGGTTCACATCCGTCCAATCAGCTCAGGGGACTTCGGTGCCAGGCGGTGGGGGGTGGTGGGGGGCTCTAGGGACACTGACTGCCATTAGGAAGTCCCAGCAAAGTCACCTGGGCAGGAGCCCTGGGTGGGGCATGGGAGCATCCCTTTAGCCACGCAGTGAGTGTTTGCTGAGCTCCTACTATGTGCTGTGGGCCTAGGAGTTGAGAAAGAAAAAACCCAAACAATGAAGAGACGATCCCTGCCCTCAGGGTTCTCACTACCTATTGGGAGAGTCAGGCATGGTCACAAGAAACGTCACTTCTACTGTCCCGTTGCATGGGTCCTGTCCAGCAGGGGCATATGGTCCATGAAAGCCTGTTCTCGGGGAACCAAGCTGACTTGGAACGCAGGGAGCATCCCTGGGAGGAAGCAACCCAGTGTTTTGATGAGAGTGGAGATGTGCGGAAGCCTGAACCAGTTTCCTCAGCAAAGACAACAGGGAAGGGTCTCAGGGAGAGGGACTAGTGCATGCAAAGGCCCTAGAGCGAAGGGGCAGGTGAGCAGCCTGTGGGAGAGGCCAGGCTGCTGCAGCAGGGAGGCCGGAGGGAGCCTGGAGGTGGGGCTGGGGGCCCATCCGGGAGACGCCAGATGCGTCAGGGCTCCTGGCCCAGGCTGCTCACTGGAATCAGCCAGGGACCTTTGGAAACCACTTGTTGTGATCTCACTGACCTGGGTTCTGACATCTTTGGTCTGGGCTTGACCCGGGTGTGGGGCTGGTTCAACCGCCCTCCTGCAGGAGATGCTAACGTGCGGCCAGGTTGAGTGAGTCCAGGTTGGACCTGCAAGGCCTGTGGGGTTGCACCTGTTTGTCCTTGTCCTAACAGGACCAGGCCATGGTTTGGGGCCTAGGAGGTGGGCCGTGGAGGGGTTTCACAATCAGATTTGCTTTGGAGGGAGAAACAAAAACACGTGGCTGAGTCACATAGATAAGAAGCCGGAGAAGCCCAGTGACCGCCTGGCCCAGCACTAGAGAGGCGCTGAGAGGACCAGAGCGTCAGCTGGGGGTCAAGGGTGCAGAGAGCCAGGCGGGCCTTCAGACCTGACCTTTTGACCCTCGTACATTGGCTTCAGGTCTTCCCATTGCCTGAAAGGGGACACTTTCTCCTGCAGCCACGCTGAATGGGGAGGAAGTGGGGGAGGTCCCATCGGCCAGAGCCAAGGGGTCAGCTCCTGGGAGGTCTGGCCCTGGGACCACCGGTCACTCTGGGGCAGGGGCCGGGGGAGGAGGCGAGCAGGCTTGCTGGAGCAGGGACAGAAGCTGGGAGTTCCCTAACGGGGAGGGCATCAGCGGTGAGTGGAGGGGGAGACAGACAGTGGGTGGAGGTCAGTAACAGGGCGGCGGGGTGGGGTGTGAACGGAGGCCCGAGTCTAGCTATCCAAGAACAAGCAGCTCAGGGGACATCTGTTTTCATTCAGAGCCGGGAGCAGAGCTGGGCGGGGCCGTGCTCACAGCCGACTGCCCGCTTGAGGCCCTCTTCCGCTCAGGGCCGCCCTGGCTTGCAGAGGACATGTGGTCAGGAGGGGCTCGCACGGACCGGGCACCTCCCGGGCGCCCAGTGGGCTCATCCACACCACCCAGCTCCCTGGCTCAGAGAGTGCAGAGGCTTGCCCCATGTCACACAGCGCTGTTTGGCCCCAGGGCCATTCTCAGGCACGCTGCCTAGGGTCCGGGAGACTTTTAGGGGCTCAGGAAAGTGTCTTAATTTCTCTTAATATCAGAACAAACAAACAAACAAACAATATATTCCAGCTTGGGTTCTATTTGTCTTTTCACCGATGCAGTTGTAATAGATCCTTGATCCTTATTTTACATAGAGGGCGGGCCCCACAGCAGCACGCTCTAACGGAGTCCATCTGTCTGGCCTCATCCTTCAGGGCTCAGGTGTGTGACCGCTTCCCCAGGGAGCCCCGCGAGGACTCCTCTGTCTAACACCCCCCTGCCCCCTCACCTGCAGCTTGGCTCCCCTGTGAGCATTTGGTGCAGTGGTTTTGAGCACAGGCTATGAAAGCGAACGTCTGGGAGTGACTCCCACCTCTGCCAATTGTCCGTGCTGTATATTCAGGCAAGCTGTTCGTGTCTCTGACCCTCAGTTTCCCTGTCTGTAACATGGGGATAGTAAGCGTACCCAACTCACGGAGTTCGGGTAGTTTAAATGAGTGAGCATTTTTAAAACCCTCAAAGCCATGGCTGGCACTGAAAAGTGTCCTCTAACTGCTGATGGAAATCACGGTTTGAGTAATACCTGACTTCTCCACTCGGCAGGAAGCCCCAGAAGGGCAGAGGTTGGGCCTGGTTTTACTGTCTCCAGTGTCCCCAGGCCAGGCGCACAGGGGGGACTCAGCTGTTTGAATGGATGAATGAATGTATCCTGGTCCTCCTTGTGCCTCTGTTTCTTTCTGCTGCAAGTCATTCACACTTTAGTATGATTTATGGATGAATGCCACCCTGGCTAGAGCACTTGCTTGCTTGATCTGATCGCTAGGGAAAACCTGTTCGGCCTTCCATGGAAAGCCTCAGTGATCAGGTGGGGGGGTTTTATCAGGGCAGGATTTCTTCCTAGACCCTGCAACTGTGATTCCTGTCCTCTGCTCTGGAGAGGGAGGCTCCTATGCACTTGTGCCCTTTATATTTCTAAAGGATACTGTTTCCCCTTTTTCCAGAGGGAGAGAGGCCCTTGGCAGGCAGCCGCGATCAGACCCCAGTGGGCCCCTCACTCAGAGCCGACTTGATAAATGCCTCTCCTGCTCCAAGGCTTTCCCAGAGGAAACCTCCCCGCCCCAGATCTGCAGGAAGTCACACTCATGGGTCGGTGAGTCCTGGGACAACAGCCCACGAAGCTTGGGATCAAATCCAGGTCTCCAGAGCTCAGATAAACTAGAAAGACCTCTGCCGGCTGGAACATAAAGTTCTGAGGCCTGGCCGAAACCCGGGTGGAGCTGACGGCCCCGCAGTGCCTGCAGGCCGCAGACGCTGGCTGGTTTCGTTGGCGCCCGCAGGGCCGTCCAGCCTGCCTGTCAGGCCAGGATCCCGCCTCGTATCTGATCAAAGGAAAGCGGCTGGTCTCCTGGGCAGGTTTGTTCAATGTTTACTTCTCTCCTCAGAGCCTGTCTCCTTCCATATCAAACCTGGAGCGCATGTGTCACCGGGTGTCACCCCTCCTGTCCTGAAGGCTTTGAAAGGTCATTTTTATAAGTTAATCTCTGCAAGAAATGAACGGACGGGTCCCAGCTCGGCGCCTGGGTCCCTGGGATCCGAATACTGCTGTGGAGCTGATTTCTCAGCTGAAGAACATGTATTGAGCACCTACTGTGTGCCAGGCCTGTGTCTTGTACTGGGACTGACTTTTGCCCTCCATCTCTCAACTGTAGACGAGGCATACTTCCTTGTAGGGTCGTCCTGATGGCTAAACTTATTCCGTGCCCCGAGCCAGAACTTGCTGAGGGCTGATGCAGGCCAGGCCCTGTGCAGACAATAAGAGATGCCTGACACCCCTTGGGGGTGTCGGAGCTCCTCCTGCCACCGTAGCTAAGACCACAAACCTAGTGTCATGGATGAAAGAACTAGGGGAGGCTTTCCCAGCACCACGCAGACACGGCTGAGCTGGGATGCCGCCTAGGCGTGGCTAAGTCTGGGGCCTGGGTCCCTTCTGCTTTCCTGACAGTAGGTCACAGTGGTCAGACGGGCCTGGGGCCGAGCCCCAACTCAGCTACCTGCTGCCTGACCTCAGACCTCAGACCCTCAGACAAGTATTTGTAGATTTGTACCTCTGTTTCCCCATCTGTGAAATGGGCATCACAGTAGGGGTTGCTGCGAGCAGGCGGCAGAATATTAGATACTGAGCATAGCACTTTATGTATGTGTACAGAACACACACAGGCCAACACAACACACTCACGATGCGTGTGACCCGGGTCACAGTCAAAACGTCACTGAACTCTCCCTAGGAACACACGACATAACTGTGGGCACGCACACACTAGGGAGGAGGACCGCAGGGTTCAAGGGGGTGTCTTCTTCCCACGGCCACGTGCTCAGCCAGTCCCCATCCAGCTCCAGTCTCCCAAAGAAGCTTCTATGGGCAGACAGTTTGTCAGCTCAGCTCAAAACTTGGACGAGGTAGAAGCCGCGAGCCTCCACCCACCCTGCTGGGCTGGTTCCCCTGTGTGCCTGCCCCCACCCGGCCCCGGCCCCGCCAAGCCCCGCAGCCAGCACACCTCCTGGGCGGGGGGTGGGGGTGGGGGGGCGGGGGGGAGGAGAGACCGCCCCAGTCTGCCAGGAAGTGCTCATTATCCCAGTGGGACAGGGCCACTCCCGGCCACGTCTCCAAGCCAGCCCAGTGCCCCCTCCTCCTGCCTCCACCATCTGAACTGCCTGGGCTGCAGACATCTACGGTGGAGCCTCTGGGGCCAGATGTTATAGGGGCCAGCTAAAAATAACCGGGCGGGCCGGCCACCATTGGGGGTGGGGTAGGGGTGGGGGCACGTGCTGGGCGCTGACACATGATCCCAGCGACCCTGCTGAGTGGAGTTAAGAGTCCGGCAGACCTGGCACACTTCGGCTCCCCACTTAGAGAACCCACCCGGCCAGAGGGCCCCTCTTCCCTGAACATGTGGGAGGAAATGCCTTTTTCCAGCCACAGGATGGGCAGCGGCAGAAGGAAGGTCATCTGGGCTCTGTGCTTCCTGCTGCTTCTCCTTGAAGCTGGCTCTGCCAAGAATCTCTGGAAACGGGCATTGCACACTAGGCTGGCCGAGAAGTCCCGCGTAAGTGCCTGGGAGGGAGAGGCGGGGAGGGGCTGGCTAGGTGACCCCCAGATGCTGTATGATCTGCAGATGCTCCCCCCAAACTCAGGCAGGGCAGCGTCTTTACGGGACTGTGCCGGGGTGGGGGGAGGGGGTTGGCAGATGAACTCACCGCCCTCAGAAGGCTCCTTGTCTGTAAGTAGACAAGCAAAGGGTGTACCAGAATTGTGCAGGGGGATTGGGACATGCTTTTGCCTACCAAATAGACTTTCTCCTGACAGCACCTGGTTTAAGACTCCAGGGACTTGAAACTGAGTGTTTTGTCTCAACGATCAATAACCAAATGTTTATGAAATCTATTTAGACATTCATGAGGTTATTTACTCATTCAGTAAACAGTTAGTGGAAACTGCTCCAGGCCAGGCACTGTGTGCGGTCCTGTGGGGACGAGATGGGAGATACCAGCTCCCACCCTCGGGGGTGACATAGTCGAGTGGGGAAGGCAGTCAGGTGACACGTGGTACCGGTACGAAGGGACGGCACAATGTAGCAAGTGGCAAGAAGCATGCACCTTAGAGGCAGGTGTCTGGGTTTGCACCCAGCCTCTGCTGCTCACCAGCTGTGTGACTTTGGGTGAGTTGCTTGACATCTCTGAGCACCAGTGATCTCATCTGAAAAAGAAAGAGCGAGGCATTCCCTTTGACAAATGTGTTTGATCACCGCTGTTGACCAGGCACCGTCCTAGGCGGTGGGCACACAGAGCGCAGATCCCTCCTGCTGCAGGGAATTCGTGATTTAGTGAGAGAGGCAGAGAGTAAGTAAGGAATAAGGAAAACATAGTGTGTTTGGTGACAAGTGCCAAGGAGAGAACTAAAGCAGGGAAGGTCCCTAGGAGAGAGAGTGGGGGAGGGAGGGTGTAAATTTAGCATCCTCCCCCTCCCGCACAGGGAGCATGGAGGCATGGAGGGTTCAAGGAATGGACTCTGGTGCTCTCAGGGTGAAATGACTCACGATGCATGAAGCACTTAACACCTAGCAAGTGCTCAGAGCATCTTGGTGACTTCATTAAATCATCATGAAATTGGCTGGTGCTTGCCTCCCCATGTGGAATGTAGGCTCCTCAGGGTGAGGCCTGATTTTGTCTCATTCAGTGCAGTGTTCCTGATGCCGTGCCAGGTGCCTGCCTTTAACTTGGTGCTCAATACATTCATGTGAGTAAATTATGGGCAAATGCATTGGAAGCACAGAAGAATGGGTTCAGCTCAGGACGGTTTGTTTAACAGCAATAGATTCCTGGACCAGAATTTGGTGCCTGGGAACGGGGACTGACCTGAGCCAACTTTGAGCTGCATTCGGGGATTGCTGTGCTTGCCTCTGAGGCATTGCAAGTGTCAGGAGACCAAAAACCCCTCAAAAATATCAGCGGCCCCATTGGCCTTCTCCCCCTGGGCTTTCAGGATTTTGGAGCCAGTAAGTGAACTCCAGGCATTTATGCAAGAGTCGGGGAGGGTTTTCCAGGGTTGGGGGGCATTCAACATTGGCTTTGCAGGATGAATAGGAGTTTGCCAGATAAGTGGGAAAGGGTAATGTTTAATGACTGCTGCCATGGTGAGATGCATGAAACTGTATTGAGACTAATCTTAGCCCCCTGGGCTCACATTCTGCAGGTCAGGCAGGCAGCCACTGGGAATGGTAGCAAGTGAAATGATGGTAGTTGTTTGGAGAAGGGAGAGCTTGTATGGGGCAGTGTAATCACAGAAGGCTTCCCGGAGGAGGTGAGACCCTGGCCAGATGTTCAAGAACTTTTAAGAATTAGGAGGAGGAAGGACATTCCTGGAAGAAGATTCAATGTAGGCAGAGGTACTGAGGCAAAAACAGTGCATCTGGGAGCCCCTGAGAGGGCAGTCCTCACTACAGGAGAGGGTTTGTTTGTGCAAGGAGGGAGAGAGACCCTTCTCAGGTTTCACGCCCCCATGCTCTTTGCTGGCCTGACAGGACGATTTAGTCCTCCAGGGTAGTTAGCACTTTGGTTCTAGGACCACAAAGGGATTTTCAATACATCATCTGGTCTGATCCCTGCTTTGTCCCAGCATGTCATAGAAGCAGATGCTGTGGCATCTGTCTAGGAGGAATGAGGAGGTGGGGTGGTTGGGGACAATGTGCGTGGGGGCCGGGGAGGTGGGCTTCAGAAACCACACTGCTTCTAGCCACCATTTGCCAGAACACAAGTGCTTCGTGTTTGCCCTTCCATGGATTGGAGCTCTCCCCGGTTATCAGCAGACACCAGCGTCCCTCCCCAGTGCTTGGACACAGGAGAGGTTTGTGCCAAAAACTGGCCTCAGAAAAAGCACCTGGGGAAGGATACAGGCTGTTGACCTGTGGGCACCAGGCCCAGGGATTCATCTCCGTGACATCTCTAATGAGCTGTGCAGCCTTGGGCCACTCACTGCCCCTCTCTGGTCATTACCTAGGAAATGAAGGCAGAGGACCAGATGACCTCCAGGGCCCTTGCAAATGTCCAACAGGGAAATTAGGAATATAGGAAACAGCTCCCTTACACTCAGAAGCATGACTTTCGCATGCAGCACCCACCACCCCCACCCCAGACTGAGGCAGGTCTGCAGCCTTGGCTGTGGCCCCTGGAGGGCTGTGGGGCAGGTGTCTGGCCGTGTGCTGAAGCCAGCTCGTACTTACTCTGGAGAGTTCAACAGTGCCCTTATTAAAATTAAATCCTGTAAGCTTATCATTATATAATTTATATTAAAAAGCAAGTAGGTGCTCCTTATTAGAACCGTATCACCTGCTTGTGGTTGTGCTACTTCCTACCATTCTGTCTGCTCTCGTGGTTATTAGTGTCTGTCTGTCTGTCTGTGTGCTGAAGCACCGTGCACGGAGGGGCTGCTGCACGGCCCCGCCCCACTCCTGGCCCCCCACCCGCACTCACGGGGGGCCCTCTCAGCACAGGGTGACAGCGAGGCTGGTCGTCCAGCCCCGGGCTCTTCCTGAACCCTGCGTCCGTCTGACCGCCCGAGGACTTCGAGACACAGCAGCGTGTCACTGTGGCTGAGTCTGCTTTATCCCCTCAGCTAGAAACGGTTGGGCAGTTTGCACCCTGCCCCAGAGGGCCTGCAGCAGCAGGATGCTTTGTGAGGTGTGCTGCCCCACCAGGACCCCTTCGCGCGTGCGGGCAGCTCTGGGCCCTGTAGGAGCCGGCCACCAACCCCTGCCCTGCGACCCGGCTTCCTCAGTCTCCCCAAGCTGGTTCTCCTTCCCCTCGTTACTTCTGGGAGCTCCAGAACCTTCTATCGCATCTCTTATTTTTTGCTCAGGTAGCAAGAGTCGACGGAAGACTGTATCTCTCCGGTGGGGGGGGTGGGGCTCGCCCAGCTTGCACCCAGGACAGGCCAAGACGCTGGGGGGTTCACACCGTGGGAGCAAATGGAACTGAAGCACAGGCCCCAGCGCCTTATCCTTGGGTGGGACACCTCTGAGGAGCAGTCTGTCCAGTTTCTCAGCGTTTCCCCTTGGGTCTGAGCTCCAGGCGCCCCCTCCAGTTTCCTGTGTACTAACCCTCCCTGGGTGGGCCCTGCCCCTTCCCTGCCCCTTCCCTGCCCCTTCCCTGCCTCACTTTCTCGCCTGCTGGAGCTTCCCGGGACCCCTCCCAAGCGCATGCCCTGCACTAGAGGCCTAGTCTCAGCTCTGTGTTGTGGGTCTGTGTCCCTCAAAAATGACATGTTCAAATCCTAACCCCTGGTACCTGTAAACGTGACCTTATTTGGACAGGTTGTTATAAAGGATGAGGGCGTATGGGAGTAGGGGATCCCTCCCTTAATCCAGTGTGGCTGGTGAGAAGAGAGAAGAGACACAGAAGCAGACGCACAGGGGGAAGGCCAGGTGAAGACGGGCAGAGATCGGAGGGGTGTGTCCTTAGGCCAAGGCGTGTCAGGTCTCCAGGAGCCACCAAAAGCCAGCAGACAGGTGTGACACAGATTCTCCCACGGAGCTTCCAGAAGAAACCAACCCTGCCAACACCTTGATTTCAGACTTCTGGCCTCCAGAGCTGCAAGAGTGTACGTCTCTGTTGTTTTCAGCCCCTGGCTTGTGGTACTTTGTTAGAGCAGCCCTGGGATACTCCTACAGTCTGCTTCTGGGCACCAACATAGTCGGCTGCTGGGGCTTACAACTAGCACCCCCAATGATAGACATTTCCGGGTGAGGAAATCGAGGCCCTGGGGAGGAGTGTTCTGGCTGGGGGCTTCCCTTGCTCCTTGAAAGATGTGAGATCACACCCCTGCGGGACCCCATCAACGGGACCTCTAGGATGCCTCCACCTAGAGGAGCAGGGGCTGCACCTGGGCCCTGGGGTGTTCCTGGCCGAGGCCCCGTGGCTCCTACCCGGGGTGGGGGAGGGGACGAGGCCTGCAGAGGTGAGACAACCCCACCGTAGGCTTGGCCATGGCCTAGTGACTCCACAGAGCCTGGCACATCATAAGCATGCAGAAACATTTTAAGAATGAGGGGGGCTGGCGAGCTGGTGGGCTGGGTGAGTGGGTAGATGGAAGGAAAGAAGAAAGAGTAACTGGATAGTGTGATTTTGGGGGTGACCTTGGGCAAATCACTTTCTCCTCTCTGGACCCGACTCCCGCACCTGAGGTTCCAGTCCTGAAATAAATCCCAGGTGGAAATGAGCAAGGGAAGAAGCATCCAGGCCGTGTGTGGTTATAATCTGGGAGTGTGCGTGCAAGAGGGAGTCAGGCAGGCGAGCAGAGGGAAAGTGCGTGACTGTTCGAGCAGCCCTAGTCAAGACAGCCAAAGCTGGAAACAGCCCGAAGGTCCAGAAGCTCCGAATGAGGAAACGAAATATGACCTCTCCGCACAGTGGAATATTATCCAGCCATGAAAATGGAAATGAAGTATTAACACCTGCGACAGGATGGATGAGCCCTGAAAACGTGCTGAGTGAAAGAAGCCAGTCACAGAAGGCCACATGCCGTATGATCCATCCGTACGAAACGTCCAGA